GCCCGGGATCCGAACCGGCGAACCCCGGGCCGCCGCAGCGGAGCGCACGCACTTAACCACTTGCGCCACCGGGCCGGCCCCTAAAAAAATTTAAATTTAAATAACCTCATGTGGCTACTGGCTACTGCACTGAACAGTGCACGTGTAGAACATTACAAACACATTAAATAAAGTCTAGATTTAAAAGCTAAACAAAAATGGCAGGGAAAATGGATTTTAAATAGACAGACAGATGATGGCTTAAGGATAAATTCTGACATGAACAAGGGCTTTTCCATCACTCCTATGGCCAGCAGGGAAAGTAAGATAGCTAGCTGAGTCTGCAGCCATAAACCTGACTGCTCCCTGGAGGCCACAGTGAGACAGCCTCTCCCATGAACAGGGGGAACTTGAATAGGTATGAGTTTTCTAGAAAGTTGTTGGCAATGTGTATCAAGAGCTCCAAGCTCAACCCCATCAACCTACGCATTTCATTTCTACAAACCTGTCATAAGGAAGTAAAGATATGAGGGAGGACATCAAAGAAAAATTCCTGACTATCACTAAAACAACAATGATCACCTTGGGTTGTGGACGTATGGATGATTTTTATCTTCCTCATTTTCCCTTTCTTTCATTTGCCCAATTTTCTAGGATGAACATGAGTATCTGTTGTTGTCTTGATCAGGGAAAAAAACTATTCTTTTTCTGGATTTCTGAATTCTATCCCAAATATAAAAGGATGAGAAACAGCCCAAGTTACATCCAACCCTCAAACAGGCTCTCTGTTGGCCTTGCTGAAACTTCCTCAGGCCTGGGCCGAGGTCTGAAACAATCCCAGCCCCATCTGCACTCCTGCCCACTCCCCAAGGGGTGGTTCTTGCAGGCGGGTCTGAAGGCTCTCCCTGCAGACTCCTGCCCCGCTCATCCTTCACCACTTCCAATCCCGTCCAATCCCCTCGTGGGGGCTGCCTCTCGGAGGACCACACAACACAGGCAGCTACCCCCAGGCACCTATCTCAGTGTCTCATCCCTTCTTTGCTACTAAAAGGATCCCAATTTAGTTAACAGTAGCAACATATCCCTTTAAAAACTCCATCTCAGGGCCGGCCCCATGGCTTAGCGGTTAAGCGAGCACGCTCCGCTGCTGGCAGCCCGGGTTCGGATCCCGGGCGCGCACCGACGCACTGCTTCTCCGGCCATGCTGAGGCCGCGTCCCACATAAAGCAACTAGAAGGACGTGCAGCTATGACATACAACTATCTACTGGGGCTTTGGGGGGAAAAATAAATAAATAAATAAAATTATTAAAAAAAAAAAACTACATATGCTTTAAAAAAAATAAACAAACAAATAAAAAAAAATAAAAACTCTATCTCAAGAGTGACATTAGCATCATGGCAGAGTGAGCTCTCCCCTGTATCTCCCCACTAAGATACAATGAAAAGCACATTCATAAACCAACAGAGGACGTTCACACAACACGCCTGAGAGATCCACACAGCTATACGTCTGAAGGTGGGGGTGCTGGACCCCCTCAAGAGGCAATGGAAGGAGGTAAGGGGATCACCTCTCCCTCCCATGCAGCAGTGACCTAAGGGTGGGACCTCACAGCGGCCGGCGCACAACCACGAGAGGAGAAGGGAGAGAAGGCAGCCCTCCACGAGAACGCTTGCGCTCTTGGAGTTACCTCCCAGCCTGTGGGAATGCCCCACACCAAGGTGGCTAAGCAATCGTGGGGGTGTCTGCACCAAACCAGGCAGTGAGTGCAGAGCTGAGGCGCATGAGATCGTGCACAAGAAAAAGCGCCACCCACCCCCCGATGCCTGGTGCACCAGCTCAGCCGATGGCTTCAGGAGGGGATTCCCACCAGAGCAACTGTGCATACGTTTGTAAAGCAGCAGCAGCGAGCAGGCAAATGCAGACAGGCCCCATCGGCGTAGTTACAAAGAACACACACAGCTGCCAGAGAACGCAGCGGGCTCAGGATACACAGCTCCTGCCCCTACACAGTGGCAGCAGGTGGACTCTGCAATCAGATACCACCACTATGTGAAGGTACAAATCTACCCCATCAAATAGTATGAACAGGTATGTTAATAATCCAGACCAGAAGGAAAATGACAAGCACCCAGAAATAAATCCTGGAGGCACAGAAATTTACAATCTAAATGACTGAGAATTCAAAATAGCTATCATAAAAAAACTCAATGAGTTACAAGAAAACTGAGAAAGTTCGATGAAATCAGGAAAAGAATTAATGAATGGAGGAAATTCTTCACAAAAGAGATTGAAATTATAAAGAAAAACCAATCAGAAATGTTGGAGATGAAAAACACAATGAATGAGATAAATAAAAATCTGGAGTTCTTAAATAACAGAGCTGGTATTATGGAGGACAGAATTAGCAATTTACAGGACAGAAATACAGAAATGCTTCAGATGGAGGAGAGAGAACTAAGACTAAAAAGAAATGAAGAAATTCTCTGAGAAATATCCCATTCAATTAGGAAATGGAACATATGGATTATAGGTATTCCAGAGAGAGAAGAGAGGGGAAAAGGAGCAGAGAGCTTGTTCAAAGAAATAATAGCTGAGAATTTCCCAAACCTGGAGAAGGAGCTGGAATTACAACTAAAAGAAGCTAACAGAACTCCTAATTACATCAATGTAAAAAGACCCTCTCCAAGGCAGGTATTAGTAAAACTGGAAAAAGTCAATAACAAAGAAAAAATATTAAGGGCAGCAAAGCAGAAGAAAATAACATACAAAGGTACCCCTAACAGGCTTTCAGCGGATTTCTCAGCAGAAACCTTACAGGCTAGGAGAGAGTGGAATGATATATTCAAAATTTTGAAAGACAAAAACTTTCAGCCAAGAATACTCTATCCAGCGAAAATATCCTTCAGATATAATGGATAAATAAAATCTTTCCCAGACAAACAAAAGCTGAGGGAGTTTATCACCACAAGACCCCCACACACAAGAAATGATCAAGAAGGCCCTCATAGCTGGAAAAAAAAAGAAAGGGTTTACGAAGCCTTGAGGAAGGAGATAAATAGGCAGACAAAATCAGAAAACTGCAGCTCTCTATCAGAACAGGGTAGCAAACACTTAATTATAACATTAAAGATACAGGGAAGGAAAACATCAAAAATAAATATAATCACTTCTTTTTAACCACAAACACATATAAAACCGATAAGTTGTGACAACAATAATTTTAGGGAAGGGGAAAGGGATGGAACTTGCTTAGACTAAGGAAATAAAAGGCTATCAGAAAATGGACTATCTCATCTATGAGATCTTTTATACAAACCTCATGGTAACCACTAAACAAAAAATCAGAACAGAGACAGAAATGATAAATAAAGAGAAAACTGAGAAAATCATCATAGAGAACCACCAAACTGAATTGGCAGTTCGAAATACGTGGGACAAGAAACAAGAGAAATACAGAAAAACTGGAAAACAAGTGATAAAATGGCAGCATTAAGTCCTCATATATTAATAATCACTCTAAATGTAAATGGATCGAATGCTCCAATCAAAAAACACAGAGTTGCTGGATGGATTAAAAAACAAGACCCAACAATATGCTGCCTCCAGGAAACACATCGCAGCTCTAACGACAAACACTGGCTCAGAGTGAAGGGATGGAATACGATACTCCAGGCTGGCGGCAAACAAAAGAAAGCAGGTGTTGCCATATTTATATCAGACAAAGTGGACTTCAAGATAAAAAAGGCAATGAGTGACTCAGAGGGGCAGTAAATAATGACAAAAGGGACACTCTACCAAGAGGACAAAACACTTATAAATATATATGCACCTAACAGAGGAGCACCAAAGTACATAAAGCAACTATTAACAAACCTAAAAGGAGATGGTAACAGCAACACAATAATAGTAGGAGACCTTAACACTCCACTTACATCAATGGATAGATTATGCAGACAGAAAGTCAACAAGGAAATAGTAGAATTAAACGAAAAGCTAAACCAGATGGACTTAACAGATATACATAGAGCACTCCATCCAAAAATAGCGGAATATACATTCTTCTCAAGTGCACACGTAACATTCTCAAAGACAGACCATACACTGGGAAACAAGGCAAGCCTCAATAAATTTAAGAAGGTTGAAATCACAGCAAGTATCTTTTCCAACCATAATGCTATGAAACTAGAAATCAACTACAAGAAAAAAGTTGGGAAAGTGACAAATATATGGAGACTAAACAACACGCTACTGAACAACCAATGGATCATTGAAAAAATTAAAGGAGAAATCCAAAAATATCTAGAGACAAATGAAAACAAAAATACACCATACAAATTCATATGGGATGCAGCAAAAGCAGTCCTAAGAGGGAAATTCATAGCAATACAGGCCCACTTTAACAAACAAGAAAAATCTAAAATAAATAACCTTAAACTACACCTAACATAACTAGAAAAAGAAGAACAAAGCCCAAAGTCAGCAGAAGGAGGGAAATAATAAAAATCAGAGCAGAAATAAATGAAATTGAAACCAAAAAAACAGTAGAAACAATCAATGAAAGTAAGACCTGGTTCTTTGAGAAGATAAACAAAATTGACAAACCCTCAGCCAGACTCACTTAGGAAAAAAGAGAGAAGGCGCAAATAAATAAAATTAGAAATGAAAGAGGAGAAATTACAATGGATACCACAGAAATAGAAAGGATTATACAAGAATACTGTGAAAAACTATACGCCAACAAATAGGACAATCTAGAAGAAATGGATAAATTCTTAGAATCATACAACCTCCCAACAAACTGAATCAGAAGAAACAGAGATTCTGACTACACCAATCACAAGTAAAGAGATTGAAACAGTAATCAAAAATCTCCCAAAAAACAAAAGTCCAGGACCAGACAGCTTCTCTGGAGAATTCTACCAAACATTCAAAGAAGATTTAATACCTATCCTCCTCAAACTATTCCAAAAAACTGAAGAAGACAGAACAATTCCTAACACATTTTACAAGGTCAACATCACCCTGAGCCCAAAGCCAGACAAGGACAACACAAAGAAGGAAAATTACAGGCCAATATTGCTGATGAACATAAATGCAAAGTTCCTCAACAAAATATTGGCAAACCAAATACAGCAATACATTAAAAGGATTATACACCATGATCAAGTGGGATTTATATCAGGGATGCAGGGACGGTTCGACATCTGCAAATCAATCAATGTGATATACCACATTAACAAAATGAGGGAAAAAACCACATGATCATCTCAATAGACCCTGAGAAAGCACCTGACAAGATCCAACATCCATTCATGATAAAAATTCTCAATAAAATGGGTAGAGACGGAAGGAACCTCAACATAATAAAGGCCATATATGACAAACCCACAGCCAACACCATGCTCAATAGGGAAAAACTGAAAGCCATCCTCTGAGAACACGAACAAGACAAGGGTGCCCATTCTCACCACTCTTATTCAACATAGTACTGGAGATTTTGGCCAGAGGAACTAGACAAGAAAAAGGAATAAAAGGAATCCAAATACGCAACAAAGAAGTAAACTCTTGCTGTTTGCAGATGACATGATTTTATATATAGAAAACCCTAAAGAATCCATTGGAAAACTATTAGAAATAATCAACAACTACAGCAAAGTTGCAGGGTACAAAAATCAACTTACAAAAATCAGTTGCATTTCTATACTCTAATAATGAATTAGCAGAAAGTGAACTCAAGAAGACAATCCCATTTACAATCGCAACAAAAAGAATAAAATATCTAGGAATAAATTTAACCAAGGCGGTGAAAGACCTATACAATGAAAACGATAAGGCATTATTGAAAGAAATCGACGATGACATAAAGAAATGGAAAGATATCCCACGCATATGGATTGGAAGAATAAACATGGTTAAAATGTCCATACTACCTAAAGCAATCTACAGATTCAATGCCATCCCAATCAGAATCCCAATGACACTCTTCACGGAAACGGAACAAAACATCCTAAAATTCATATGGGGCAACAAAAGACCCCGAATAGCTGAAGCAATCCTGAGCAAAAAGAACAAAGCTGAAGGCATCACAAGACCTGACTTCAAAATATACTACAAAGCTAAAGTAATCAAAACAGCATGTTACTGGTACAAAAACAGACACACAGATCAATGGAACAGAATTGAAAGCCCAAAAATAAAACCACACATCCACAGACAGCTAATCTTTGACAAAGGAGCTAAGAACATACAACAGAGAAAGGAAAGTCTCTTCAAGTGGTGTTGGGAAAACTGGACAACCACATGCAAAAGAATAAAAGTAGACCATTATCTCTTGCCATACACAAAAATTAACTCAAAATGCATTAAAGACTTGAAGGTAAGACGTGAAACTATAAAACTCCTAGAAGAAAATACAGGCAGCACACTCTGACATTGGTCTTAGAAGGATGTTTTCGAATACCATGTCTGCTCGGACAAGGGAAACAAAAGAAAAAAATAAACACATGAGATTTCACCAGAATAAAGACCTTCTGCAAGGCAAAGGAAACCAGGAACAAAATGAAAAGACAACTCACTAACTGGGAGAAAATATTTGCAAATCATACATCTGTCAAGGGGTTAACCTCCAAAATATATAAAGAACACACACAACTCAAGAAGAAAAAAACAAACAACTTGATCCAAAAATGGGCAGAGGGTCTGAACAGACATTTTTCCAAAGATATACAGATGGCCAACAGGCACATGAAAAGATGCTCAACATCACTAATTATTAGGGAAATGCAAATCAAAACTACACTAAAGGGGCCAGCCCAGTGGCGCAGCAAAGTGTGCACGCTCTGCTTCGGCAGCCCAGGGTTCGCAGGTTTGGATCCTGGGTGCGCACTGACGCACCACTTGTCAAGCCATGCTGTGGTGGTGTCCCATACAAAGCAGAGGAAGATGGGCACGGATGTTAGCCCAGGACCAATCTTCCCCAGCCAAAAAAAAAGAGGAGGATTGGCATCAGATGTTAGCTCAGGGCTGATCTTCCTCACAAAAAAAAAAAAAAAAAACCAAACACCTAACTAGGGAGGCCACTGCAGTCAGGAGATTCACAAGCAAGCACAATTCCTAACTGATATAAACACAGCCACTTTTTCAGTAAAGTATATATTTTAAAAAGTAAACATACTGTTTTAGTCTCGAGACTCTTCCTTAACAGCATGATAAAAGCAGTCTTCCCCATATCTTCTTTGGCAGGCAGGCCTTTCTCCCACCACATAACACACAAATCCTGAATGGAACTCTGCAGCTTTCGTTCAGATTCAGGTAACGCATATAAAATACCTAAAACAGAGCACAGTAATTGTTCAATTAGTAAAGTAAATCAACATTAGTTCATATTTAGTAGTGTAGAGTACTATGACTTATATAGGTTTGTTAAGCAAATATTAGTTTATGTTTAACTTGCCCAAGATTTATATACATTATTTATAGAATACAAATGATGTTAATTAAAAAGTTGTTTTACTACTGTTATAAAAGCAGACCCAACAGAATAGAGAATTTTAGAACTGGAAGACTCAGAGAGGTCATATTGCTCAAATCTTTAATTTCAGAGAGGCAGATATTGAGGCCATCCAGGTGTAAGTGCAAGGACACCCACAGGAACACTTCACCCCAGAGCCAGGTCAGGTCTACTGATGGCTAATGCACTATAACTGTCCCTCAATGTGCTGGCCTCAAATTCCAGCTCACTGGTGAAAACTAGTAAAAGCAACTATTATAATGAATACAACTGCAGTGCTTTTATTAACAGGAAAGCTCAAGAATTAAATTAAAATACTAATAATGTGCTCATAATTATAATCCATAGATAGCTGAACGCCATTATAACTAATGTAAAATTCTTGAATTAAGGGGAAGTTGGCAGCAACTACAATATTAGCATCAATCATTTTATGCAACTTATGCAGAAACTGCAAATAAACAAACTGGTAGTAACATTCACAACACATCTGGGAGCTATTTTTATATTGATTAGGGGTGACTCCTTAATAAAACACTGTATTTCAATGTAACAATTCTGAATAAAACAGCATTCTAAACAGATACATAAATCCAAGTGATGCTGAAAACGAAAAACTTGGAAAAACTTGATGAGAGAATTTGTCACATGGAACTAATTATACTCAAATAGTGAAGGGTGAGGGTACTTGGGAGGTTTTTCTTTAAAACCATTACTTAAAATTACTTTTACATCTTTTATATCTATAAAATAATTTTATATAAATATTTCATAATCAGATCATCTCATTAATTCAGACTAGTGTTCCTCCTAAATTAATAACTAGTTTTACAGTTTAGCTAAAACTTGAAAAGTACCATGATATAAATTTTAGTACAATAAAAGTCCCCTAAGAGTCAACAATTATTCCTCAGGCCATGTTCATAACATATTTAAAGAAAAAAATTCAATGTCACAAATGCTTGGTTAAATTGAAACTACCCGGCAGAAATTACCAGCTGAGAAAATTATAATCAGACTATTTTCCCTTAAAGCTCTTTTCACTGGTCCTGTAGGTCAAACAAGACATTCCTGAAAAACCTGAAAACAATAGCAGTTATTTGCTCAATAATGCACATTCTCACCATCTAAAACTTTCGTATGTGGCTTAAGCTAATTACTCAGGACAGCCCGTAAAAGAATACTCCTTCACTCCTTTTCTAGCTGAAATAAAGAAGCTTGATTGCAAAGTCATGCCTTAACACTACTTCTGCTTCTACTTTACCGCTGGCTTCCCTTTACAGAGTGTCATTTAGACGCCCCACTTCTAAATATGCCACATTATAACAAGTCAACTCACCATTTAATATAACAGCACATTCCAGTAAGGCTTCATAGTTCTCACTTTCATTTATTACAGACACAGAAGCAAGAATCACAGATGTAATTGCATGAATTATTTCTATGTTTTTTTTCTATAAATGAAAAAAAATCAAAGCATGAGTAAATTAAAATCAACTTAAAATTCAATTTTTAAAAGAAGTGTAAAAATTACTAAATTTATAAAAATCAAGCCACATTTCTAGCTTATTAAGCTGAATACAAGTCAGTTGTCTGAAAAGAACAGCAACATTGAATAGATTAATAATGGTACGACTGGAAAAGGGTGAAACTACAATAAACAGACTTCTAATATTCTTGACTTTTAATTTTAAATTTTTCCTTAACTTAAAATTCAATTATACACAATAAACAATTATTTTTTAACAAAGAAAAGGGGAAAATTTTTAGTTTTGAAAGACCAATACTACCATTTTTGCACCATGCTCTGTTTCCATATTATCTTCACCCTGGGCTTCCCCTGCATGCCACCCATCCACAGGGCTCTCTAACAACACATCTGTCAATAAATTCTTGAGCCTTTGCCACAGTTCCTCCTTCTGTTTCCTTGATAATTCTTCTAGTAATTCATTTAGGTTGAAAGGGTCAGAAGCATCTTTCTGTAAAATAAATAGCAAGTATTACACTTCAAATAAAAGAGCTTCTACAAGACAAACGAAACCAGAATCAAGATGGAACAGACAACCAACCAGCTGGGAGAGAATATTTGCAAAACATACATCTGACAAGGGGTTGATCTCCATAATATATAAAGAACTCACACAACTGAACAACAAAAAAACAAACAACCCGATCAAAAAATGGGCAGAGGAAATGAACAGACACTTCTCCAAAGAAGATATACAGATGGCCAATAGGCACATGAAAAGATGTTCAACATCACCAATCATCAGGGAAATGCAAATCAAAACAACACTAAGATATCACCTCACACCCGTGAGAATGGCTATAATCACCAAGGCAAAAAACAACAAATGTTGGAGAGGATGTGGAGAAACAGGAACCCTCATACACAGCTGGTGGGAATGCAAACTGGTGCAGCCTCTATGGAAAATGGTATGGAGATTCCTCAAAGAATTAAAAATAGAGATGCCCTATGATCCAGCCATCCCACTACTGGGAATCTATCCAACGAACCTGAAATCAACAATCCAAAGAGGTTTATGCACCCCTATGTTCATTGCAGCATTATTCACCATTGCCAAGAAGTGGAAGCAACCTAAGTGTCCCTCAACTGATGATTGGATCAAGAAAATGTGGTATATATATACAATGGAATACTACTTAGCCATAAAAAAAGACAAAATCGTCCCATTTGCAACAACATGGATGGGCCTGGAGGGTATTATGTTAAGTGAAGTAAGCCAGAAGGAGAAAGACAAACACTGTATGATCTCACTCATATGTGGAATATAAACCAACACATGGACAGAGAAAACTGTATTGTGGTTACCAGGGGCTACAGGGGTGGGGATGGGGGTGGCGGGTGGGCACAAGGGATGAAGGGAGACATATATATGGTGATGGACAAACAAAAATGTACAACCCAAAATTTCACAATGTTAAAAACTGTTAAAACATCAATAATAAAAAAAAAAGTAAAAAAAAAAAAAAAATTAGTTCTATCCTTTTTATAATGGCATCGAAAAAAAGATTAAGTGCTAACTTAGCGACAAGTTCAAGAGTTTGGTGGTAGTTTTTGAAATCCATTCCTAAAAGGGAAAAGTACAGGAATTATCAGACAGAAAGTGTAGCAGATTCCTCCCCCACCTATTCAATCCTAGTATTCTAATCTTTGGAGTTTAAAATTTTACCAATTTAGCAAAATCCTCCCTAAGATCAATCTGTCCAGACGTCCACCATCTCCAGGCCTATAATTAGGTTACAAAAGTACACTAGAGCTAAAATAATAATAGCAACAATAATAACAACGCAGTCATGCCAAGTGATTGCACTTTAAGTTTCTAGTCCAGCCCGACTTGGGCCCTCAAAGCCCATCCTCTAGTCATCTCTAGACATCATTCTCTCCCATTAGCCATTGAGACCATTTCAGATCCTCTCAACTATCCTTCAAACCTCTGAGCCATCCACCATTTCCTCACTCTGAGCAGATGACCTCACCTACTCTTTAATACAGCAAATAGAGGCCATTATCAAAAGGAGCGAGAATCCAGCTTCAAGGGACTCCCTGTAGCCAATCTGGGACAATCAGCACCAAAATAGTGACAGCAGTGGATTATAACCCATTGAATAAAATAAGAATCAATGAGGCCATAATGATAATGAATAAATAAATAATAACAAATAATTAACTAATAGTATTGGCATGCTACAGAATGCCAATGACTAAATACAGAAGGAATATGGGATGGAAAAATCAAGATTTTATAGCCATTATAGTAATAATTGATTCAGGCAAGAATCATCAGTGGATGCTAAACCCAGTGGGTAGAAGTTTGATGAGGAGCAGGCTATCTAGTTATTTCCCCACAGATGACTTATTAATTACAAAGTGGAAAGAGCAGCTTTACAGAGTGATCAAAACTACCACCACCAATAATGGGACAAACTGACACCACGTGCCTCCACTGAGGAGGATGCAACACCACTTATATAGTTCCTGCCAAAACACATAAAATAATAATCAGACCATCAAATAAATGCAAACTGAAGGATCTGCCACAAAACAGCTGCCTGCACTCTTCAAAACTGTCAACATCATGAAAAATAAAGTAAGGTTGAGAACCTCTCCGGGTTAAAGAAAACTAACAAATCATGACCACTGGATGCAACGTGTGATACTGGACTGAGTCCTGGGGCAGGAAGAAAAGGAACATGAGTATGTCCTGCAGCTAAAACATCATTGTACCAATGTCAAATTTCCCGACTTGGAAGATTTTATTGTAATTATGTAAGAGAATATCTTTGTTCTAGGAAAATACACACTGAAACATTTAGGGATAATGAGACACAATGCCTGCAACTGACTCTCAAATGATCCAAAAGAATATGTGAGTACAAAGAATGATAAGGACAATGTGCAGCTGGGAACAACTGACAGACCTGAGTGTAGGGCATTCAGGACTCCTTTGCGTTTTTCTTGCAACTTTCCTTCAACTTTGCAATTACTGCAACAGGAAAGGAGAGGGCAGGCCCACCCCTCCGGGGCCCTCTAAGGCAACTTCTCCATCCTAACTTCTCCCCTCCTCTCAGTAAGTCCACACCTGAGCTGTCCCCTTTTGTGCCTGCCTCAGGCTCTCAGCCTTCTCATCCCTTTTGTCCAGATTTCTCCCCCATCTCCACATGCCCATCTAGATCTTTGATCAAAACCGCCCGCCACTCCCATCCTCCACCCTGTGTGATTAGCATATACACCTGTCTTCTTGTTTGTCTCTCTCTACCACTAGAACATAAACTCCACGTGAGCAGAAATTTTGCTTTGTATGCACTGTATCCCAACCCACAGAGCAGAGTGTGGCACACAGAAGGCACTCAGGACATCTTAGTCAAATGGTACTTCTCCTCAGGCCCGAGTCCTCCTACTCCCGACACTGATCCTCCACCCTCAAACAAGGGGGTACAGAGGGTCCACCACAGTTGGTTCTGCTCTATAATACTTGTTTTGAAATGCAAATTTGTTCCAACGCAAAAGATACATTAGGGAACAATTTGAGCAAAAGGCGAATTTCTGGTTTGCTTATGCAGGATTTCATCACCAGGTGATTTCAGAAAACTGTACCCACTGAGTGGAGTTGCAGATACACGCAAAACGCACACACCCCAAACACCTGCCAGCTCCTGGGACCCCACACGTGAATGCACCTCAAAGGACGTTTTGTCATCACAGCACCAGTGTGATCCTGCATTGACTGTGCTACCCAAATGCTGTATTTTTGCCTTTTGATTTTAAATTAATATTAACTTAGCTTCCTTATCATCAATTTAGTTTGTGATTTTAGTTAACACTATGGTATGTAGTTTACAACAACCTTTTGGACTTTAAACCACATGTGTATTGCACATCTAATACAAATCATCTACACTCCTACTGCTAATGCAGACATTTACGTAACATCTCAATAGTTTGCGCTTACAGACACTTGCACAGTGAGGTGCTGCCTGTGAGTTTGTGCTGATTATTTTTAAGTTTATAGGACACCATTTTATGATACAAAATCATATTATAAGCTCATTTCCCTCTTATAAAGAAAAATAACTTCATACACGTTGCTAGGAACAAATTTATTATTAGGTTCCTCTCTAATTCTTAGTCATCACTAATCTGATTTTCACTGCATCATCAGAACAAGTGAGGTATGCATCTTCTGCCCCAAGGTCACAAGTATTTTAGAGTTGGTACCTTAAACACTGGGGTTCCTCAGAGCTGTCCTAGACCCCTTTTCTCCTTTTACACTACACAGATGATCCCACGCATTCCCATGACTTAAGATTCTAGCTGGAGCTGACAACTCCTGAATTTCAGTCTCTAGGCTAGGCCTCTTTCCTGGGCTTCAGACATACCCCTCCCCCCGCCTACCAGACATCTCCTTGTACATGTCCCTCTGGCAGCCATTCAGCACATCCCAAACTGAGCCAATCTTCTCCCTCAAACCTGCATTCTTCCCACGTTCATGATCTCACTGAATGGCACCACAAGTCAGAAACCTGTGATCCTCCTTGGCCCTTTCCCTGGCCCATATCCAATCAATCAGTAGTGCCATCACCCCACCACCTCACAGCTCACAAAAGCACCCACATCTTCTCATTTCCATGTCCTAATTCAACTACCAGGCACAGCCTCTCCATTCCTCTCTGGCCTCTTGTGTTGCTCTCCAATCTAGTCTTCATGTGCAGCAGAAGGAATACTTCCAATAGGCAAATCTTATTTTTCTGTCTCTCTCTTCCACCCCACTAGTTTTCTCTCCCTCTTTTGTTCTCTTGCACACAGGTCACTCTCTGCTTAAAGCCCCCATTTCTCTCTGGATAAAGTCTCAACTCCTTAAAAAGGCAAAGAAGGCCTGACGTAATCAAGGTCTCATCCCCAGGGCTCAGCTCTTGCCCTGTTCCTCACCTTGCATGTCTACACTCCAACCCTACAAATGCTTTCAAGTTCAAACACAACATGCCTTCTCCAGTCTTTAAAGTTACCACTTTGGTTAGAGGGGTCCTTCCCCAAGCTCCTCTTTGACTGGGTAACTTCTGTGTACCTTGTAGATCTGAGCTTCCATAGCCTTTCCACTGGGATGGGAAACATTCCATGGCTGGATTTGGAGCCCCACCTATATCCCTGCCCCAGCTGAGCCCTTATTCTGCTCTATTTACATGCCTGGATCTACCACAACACTGTAAATAGCCTGCGGACAAAAAAATATCTGTCTTCCTCACTACTTCCTCACTATGCCACATACATAGTAGGAGCTCAATAAATATTTGTTAGGTAAATAGAAGCACTTCACGTTATAGAGCTCAGCATCCTTACAACATCCCTCTTAGAAAGCAGGAAATACAATTTGTGAATAGTTGCCCATCATCAGGTCTATTTGAATATAGTTTTCTTTTATTTCTTTTATTTTATTTTGTGTGTGTGTGTGTATGTGTGTGTGAGGAAGATCAGCCCTGAGCTAACATCTGCTAATCCTCCTCTTTTTGCTGAGGAAGACTGGCCCTGGGCTAACATCCTGCCCATCTTCCTCTACTTTATGTGGGACGCCGCCACAGCACGGCTTGACAAGCGGTGTGTCCCTGCGCACGCGTGCCCAGGGTGCCGAACCGCGGGGCCGCCACCGCGGAACGCATTTAATCACTACGCCACCAGGCCGGCCCTGTTTTATTTTTTTTTTAATAAACCTTGGTTCCTAAGGATTCACTGAGATGACTATTTCATTTGTGGACATAATGATTTTAGAAGAATGTTTTACATTAACAGTCAAAATCACAATAAAGCTAAACATAAAACTTACATCAAGTTGAATGAATTGCAAAAATTCTTCAATCAGCTCCTTAGACACCACTTGTACAAATGTCTCACGTTTTTCCATGACAGATGAAACTGTTTTTCAGACGGCATTTATTCTGTGGAAAACACAATCATACTGAAACTTGCATTTGTAAATATACCTTTTCCTACAAGATGTAATTTGGTACTAACATCCAAAACTGCAAGAAAATTCCTGTACCACCTATGGTAGACAGTTTCTAACAATATTCTGACATAAAACAAGTTATAATATCTAAAAAAATAATTCCCTTATTTTCTTTACTGAGGATAGTATCAACAAAACATTATCTTATCAATTCTTTTTTTTTACAATTTTATTTATTTATTTATTTTTCCCCCCAAAGCCCCAGTAGATAGTTGTATGTCATAGTTGCACATCCTTCTAGTTGCTGTAC